TCTTGACCATCTGTAGCACTTCTTTGATTCATCTGATAAATCATACCTCTGGCAAGTACTGAATCAGGTGTTTACACAAGATTGCTATGAGCGTGAGCCAATCCTGGATAGCTGCTTTATCCGGGTTGGGAATCATTAGCAGCACGGGACTCGAACCAAAAACCTTCAGGTTGAAACCCTTAGTCCTGAGCTGTAAGTGCCAACACTGGAAGAGCATGGTCGCAAGAATCTTGGTAGGTTCAGATCGAATCATGCCAAACAGTATTCTGCGGACCAGTGTTTCCGTGAAGTCCCAAAGAATTGTCAAGATCATACAGCCGTGTGCCTAAACGTGTGATACACCGACCATAAAACTCAGGGCTAGGAGCGTACGCTTTCAATCGATAGGTCCGCGGTTCGATTCTCCTCTCAGGACACAAAATTAATACGCACTGTTGTCAAGTTCCAAACAACACGGCTTTAACATTGCAATTCGCAAAATAAAATCAATAACCATGATCCAACGCCATTACGTGCAAGCAGTTTTCAAATGGACATCAGGGTGACCTCCAAAACAAGGCAGAGCCCAAAATAGGGAAACAGTGGAAAAAATATATTACACAGGCTTTCAACAGGTATGACTGAAGTAACGAGGTTTTATGAGACCAAACAGTAAAAAAATTCTCAAAGAAGTCATCGGATTCCTTACTTGGTTACGAATTGCGTCATCGGTAAGCATGTAATAGGAAGGCTGGGTTTTGTTTGATGGCAAACCCAATTCGCCCAGCTCAATCAAACCGTAGATATGGTCCCAACCGAGTGGGTAGCCAGTGTACCGAGACAACAGTTCCTCACGAAGGTCGTAATGCAAACGACCAGATCCCATGAAGTCGTACGCTTCATTGTCCAAAAATACGAAGAATAAGTCACGCTTCAATTGTGAATTCTGCAAAGATGCGGTAGAAAAGCGTCACGTCAGCGAATACATGCTTTTATGGACAAAAAACCTGCGTTAGTTCGCGAATAGCACCAGCAATGAATAACGAACTTCCACCATGATTCTTGCTACGTAGGACGAAGTTCTCAAGAACATACCCACAAGACTGTATCAACCGCAATGGACAGTAATGGTTGCAGTTTCCCGTTATTTAATCAGGTGACCTTTTCTCGTTCGATTGTAACGTTATTCCCCTAATCATCTATTGTTTTAAGT